AGCTTTCAGATAGCTTTTAGCTACTGTGCTGATAAATTTAGCTTTCATCTAAAGTTTTTCTACAACTAGCTTTTAGCTGCTGTGTTGCTAATTTTAGTTTTCAACTAGTCTTTCTACAACTAGCTTTTAGCTGCTGTGTTGTTACTTTTAGCTTTCAGCTAAAGTGTTTCTAGAGCTAGCTTTTATCTGTTGTGTTGCTCATTTTAGCTTTCAGCTAGCTTTTAGCTGCTGTGTTGTTAATTTTAGCTTTAAGCTAAATTGTTTATACAGCTAGCGTTTATCTGTTGTGTTGCTAATTTTAGCTTTCAGCTAAAAAATTTAAACAACTATATTTTAGCTGCTGTGTTGCTAATTTTAGCTTTCAGCTAAAGTGTTTCTACAACTAGTTTTTATCTGCTGTGCTAATTTAACTTTCAGCTAAAGTTTTTCTACAACTAACTTTTAGCTACTGTGTTGCCAATTTTATATTTCGGATAGCTTTTAGCTACTGTCGTGATAATTTTAGCTTTCAGCTAGTTTCTCTACAACAAGCTTTAACCTACTTCATTGCTAAATTTTACTTTCAGCTAAAGTTTTTTACAACTAGATTTTAGCTGCTGTGTTACTAATGTTAGCTTTCATATAAGACTTTTCTACAACTAGCTTTTAGCTAATGTGTTGTTAATTTTAGCTTTCAGCTAAAGTTGTTCTACAGTTAGCTTTTAGCTACTGTTTTGCACATTTAGGTTTTTTGTAAAAGTTGTTCTATTCGTAGCATTTAGCTACTGTTTTGTTACAGTTAGCTTTTAGGTGCTGTTTTGCTAAAGTTAGCTTTAGCTAATGTTTTGCTAATTTTACCTTCTATTTTGACAGTAGCAGTTCATTCTTCACCAAGTCTCAGCAGTTATTCGGCTCTCAGCTGAGGGTTTTCATAGAAATCTAAATTTTCTGGTTCTCTTCAACATGATGTGAATAATTGAGTGTTTTAACAGCTAAAATTCTCCTTCATGGCTAATGTTCTCCTTTGTGGCTAAAATTCTCCTTCATGGCTAAAATTCTCCTTCATGGCTAATGTTCTCCTTTGTGGCTAAAATTCTCCTTCATGGCTAATGTTCTCCTTTGTGGCTAAAATTCTCCTTCATGGCTAAAATTCTCCTTCATGGCTAATGTTCTCCTTCATGGCTGCTCCTCTTTTGAAACCCAAGCTGCTGCTGTTTGCTTTCAGATTTCCCGTCACTTCAGATTACGCTGAATCATTTCCCCTCGAGGTCTCGGCTGTAGAACGAGCCGTGACATTTCAAACCGGGCCTGGGATCAGAGGAACTTCCTGACTTCTTCTCCGGCGTCTCATCACCTTCGCCTCTTCTGGTTTCAGTCCTGCGACTCCGACGTGCGGCCGGTGTTCGTCCACCTGTTGCTGTTTGAGCAGAAACATGGAAGGAAACTTTTGTTCTGCTTTAATTTTTATTGATCTTATCGTTCAGCACTTTGGTATCGGCTGCTGTTCTAAATGTGCTTTATAAATAAAGTTGACTTCTGTTCGGCCTGGATTTAAAAGGTTTTGTCTTCAGGAAGATGAATGGAGTCTTTGTGGCTCAGTTACACCCTCCCTCCCCGTGCAGGTGGAGACTTTTAGCTCTTATTCAGTTTCACTTGGTGTCGGGAGGACGGGTCATGGGGGGTGGGGGGTGTATAAGGTGCTCTTCAGGAACAAGCCCCTCATTGTTCCTTCCCCTCATCAAATACCTTCGGCTCTTATCAGCTGCATGTCCACTCTGCTGCATACCACGGATCATTGAAGCATGAACTGGGCAGAAAAATACAGTTTTTAATCAGGACTCGGTCGTTCTGGAGGCTCCGCTCGTTTATTTGGAAACTTAACAAATACAAACACTTTATTTTGGGATTAGGTGCATGCAAGCTGCAGGAGATTCAGGATTTCTCTCAAAGAAAAAACTAAATCTGCACGAACGTGAGTTCACGTGAAAGGGAGGCAGAACAAAGCACGGTGCATTTATCAGCCGAACATTCCTCAGTTTTAGCTGAGCTTAAAGGTACTCACTGAACGTCACATAGATCACAAAGAAACAAAACGTGCACGGTTTTTCTCCCATCGATGTGCCGTTACATAAAAGACTCGTGCCGCCAGCCCCGTGTTGTTCACTGACAAAAACAGCCGAAGTCACTGAAAACGTGTGGCGGAGCTGTTAGGGACGCTCACACCTGTTGAGTGAAGAATGCACGTTGATGCCGTTTGTTTACGTTCGGTGCAGACCCACATCTCTGAACTGGGTCTGTAAAAGTACCGGAGCGAGGCCCGTCAAGCTGCACTGTGCGGCGCAGTTCAAACTTTGTTTCTTGCTGCGTCAGCGCAGTTGACGTCCACCTGCTGTCCTCAGAGGTCGGGGCCCCTTCAGACGTAGTCTCTTTTCGTGTACCGGCTGACTGACGTGGGTTTGACGGCTGAGTAGTCCACTCGGGGAGGCGCGGAGCCGCCTCCGCTCGGCGGGGATCTTTGTGGGCAGGAGCAACAAAGCAGGGCCCCCCCCAGAATGAGCAGGCAGGAGGCAGCCCAACCAAAGTACAGCGCGTTCCCAAACTCCCTCTTGGCCGTCTCCTCCAGCAGCGGGTCGTAGAAGCCCAGCACGATGGCGTGGGCCGTCCAGGACACGGCCACCAGCAGCAGCAGTCCGGCCACGACGAAGGTCCCCCCGGCGGCCACCACCATGCGGGGCTTGCTGCTCACGTCCCGGCTGCAGTTGGTGCACTTGGCACCGGCCACGGACAGGCAGATGCCCACGATGCTCAGCACCATGGAGACGATGACCAGGGCGCGGGCCGCCTGCAGGTCCACCGGCAGCCCCAGCATGGACTCGTGCACCTTGCAGTGCATCTGCCCCGTGCTCTGCACCGAACAGTTCATCCACAAACCCTCCCAGATCACCTGCGAGATGACGATGTTCTGCCCGATGTACGCCGTCACCCTCCACATGGGCATGCCGCAGGCCACCATCACCCCCAACCATCCGGCCACGGCCAGGATCATGCCCAGGATCTCCAGACCCGCAGAGTACATGGTCCGATCCGAGGGGCGAGACGGAGTCTTCTTGCAGGGGATTCTCGGGACAGAAAGCCTCCTGTGTCCACAGAGATGGAGACGATATCGGATCACCTGTGGAAGACTTTATAGAGCTTAGACTGAAGGTGGAGTCAGCTCAACGTGGCCTCACGTTCAACTTTAACTCCGGGATCAAATCGCTCCCGCTGCATTCACATCAAGCTGAAACCAGCGAGACGTTCAAAAGGTTCCTGCTGGTGTCGGGTGTTTAAAAACCTAACCAGTGCACTGCGGAACGATTCAGATGAAAGAGTTTTCTTCTACCACAAACAATAATTAATTGCCGCGTGACTTTTTAACGAGGTTGGTTTTGATTCGATGCGGGTGAATCTACGGAGACGCCACGTCGGTAACGCTCACAAACCTTGAGGAGAAACAGAACCCTCCACCGGACCAGGACACAAAGAACTTCATGTTGTTGTTTTCTGTTGGTGTGTCACGTTGAGCCCTCTGAGAGGGAGAAAACAAGTTAAACGAACCTTTTATCATTTGTGTTTTTATTTAAAAATAAAGCAACGCACCTGATCGAATGAGCCATTTCATGTTTTGAATTCTTTAATCCCTGTGATGTCATGGCAGTTTATTCATCTCCTCAGTGATAAAATAACTATTTTCCATTAATAAAATAAAATAAAATTACAGCACGTGTCATGTTTTATCATTTCCCTGCTGTTATCATACATTTTACAGACCCCCCCCCCCCCCCCCCCGCCCCCGACTTATTTTAGACGTTTTTGAAGTTATTAACTAAACTGATTGAAGAATCTCTGAACGGGTGCAATTATCTCCTAAAATATCCTTAAAAAAAAAAAATCTGGTGAACAATGGAGTCGTTGAGTTTGCACAAGCGAGCTTCACCACTAATTAACAAAAGTCACCAGAGGTCAAAGGTCAGGGCTGCGGCGCATCCAGACTTCAAACACGACCTGAGAGCAACACGGTTTACAGAGCGTTAAAATGAGCAACAGCTAAATCTACCAACTAGCCGAAGGGCTGAGCTCTGAACAGATGTGAACATAGAAGTAATGTTTATTATTTTTATTTTAAAAAACACAAGCTCCGAGAAGCCCATTATTTATATCGTTGCAGTAAATAAAACGGCTTAATCTCTGCTAGTGCTTACAGGCAGGTGGAGCCATTTTAGCTGAGTTTAGCTGTTTGAAGTGACCTGTCTGTCTCAGCTCATAAATATTATAATTTGTGACATCAGGTACATAAACATCAAATTTGATGCAAACACATTTTTAGTCAAGCTGGTGGTAATGAGAAGAACATTCTGCTTTCAGCTTCAGCTTGGTTGCTTTGGATTCTGCTCATTTTAGCTTTTACTAACGGTTAACTACAGGTTAATGATAACTTTAGCTATTTACCCTTTTGTGGGGATAATTTTAGTTTGACTTTGTTTAACTGTTTTGTAAACTTTACCATCTGTTGTGTGTATTTTAGCATGGGTTCTGCTCATTTCAGCACATGTTTAGCTAATGTCAGCTACATTTTTGCTTTAACATATGCTAATTATAGTATTATCTTAATTTAGGGAACTTCTGCCTCTGTCTTGCTCATTTTAGTTACTACTCTACTGGTTTTAGCTAAAGATTTTCCTAAATTTAGCTTGAGCACATGTTTTGCTTCTTTTAGCTACTTCTTTCTAATTTTAGCATCTCTTTTGCTTTTTAGCATGTGTTTGGGATCAGTTTAGCTACTTTAGCTACAGTTTTGCCAACGTTTGCTTTACCAGATGTTCTATTTTAGCTTTAGTTTCGACAACCTTATTTTTATCTAGCTCATTTTAGTTACTGTTCTGCTACTTTTTTTTAGCTGCACCTGTTTTGCTACTAATTAGCTACTTTTTTGTGTGAATTGTCATTTTGGCATCTATTTAGCTAATTAGTCAATTTTACCTTCTGCAAACATCAGCTTGTGTTCTGCTGTCGTTTGTTTTAGCATTTGTTCAAATAATTTTAGCTACTGTTTTGGTAAATTCATCTGTTTCACAATTTTTTGTGACTGTTTTGTAATTTTTAGCATTAGCATTTGCTTAGCTAATTTTAGCTACTGTTTTGCTAAATACACTAGCTGTTTAGCTAACTTTAGTTTCTGTTTTGCTGCTTTTAGCTTTTGCTTTAGATAATTGTAGCTATAATTTTTCTTTTCTTAGCTACAGTTTTGCTCATCTTAGCACCTGTTTAAGCTCATTTTAGCTTTCTGTTCTGCTGCTTTTAGCTTTTGTTTTAGCTAATTTTAGCTATTGTTTTACTTCTCTTAGCTAAAACTTTGCTCATTTTAGCACCTGTTTAGCTAATTTTAGCTATCTGTAATGTGTTTTTCTGCTTTAAGATCATCCTGCAGCTTTAGCTTGTGCTCCGTGCATGTGAGCTTGTGTCGTTTCACCCTCTGCACGATGATTTTAGCGCTCTTGCTTGTTAATTAAATGCTTCTCACTGCTGGTGCAGGTTTTTCCTGGCAGGGGGAGCCATGTTAGCTTCAGTTCTTGTCTGAACCCGCCTCAAACTTCAGTTTTTAGCTTGTTGCTGTCAGAAGAACCACGAGTGTTCAGTTTTAGGGAGTAGCCGGCCCTCGCTCGTCGTTAGAAACACGTTTCTTTTCTGCAGAAAACTTGAAGCAAACAACCAAACGTTGGACCAAACTTTAAACACGTCTGTCAGTCAAGGCGTGTTAAAATTAGCCTTAAAGATCCGGATTAAAACACTCTAACATGAAAAACGTGCCGTCTTGTTCTGAGATTAGCGTTTCAACGATTAACCCAGGTTTTACAAATAAGCACAATATTTCTCCGACCTTTAAACGTTTTTGCAGGTGAGGAAATAAAGTGTGAAGTTTGAACCACAGACTTTATTTTAATCAGCGTTCATCATTTCAGGGTTTCACAACCTTCGCAGCAGGTGCAGCAACCTGCCGGGACCTTTTCCTGGAAACAGTCGTGTTGCTGCTTGCAGGCCTCCTTCACATCCAGAGCCGTGGGAGTGGGATCCGGTCCGACCGGTTCTGAACCGCACAAAAGTTTAGGTTTTTTTCATTCTCCGGCAATTTCTTACTAAGATCCAAAGAGGTCTGAACAAACACAAAAACACGTGACCGAGAGTTTGAACGGCTTCGGTCTGACTGCCTTTAACATGATCATCGACATAACGGTTTACCTGTGCGTGTCTGTTAGTAAAATATCTCAAGCACCACTGGATGAATATTAATTTTCAACATTATTAAGTCAACTCGGTTCAAGAAGGCTGCCACAGCTTAAAAAAAAGTACAATGTTTTGTAGAAGTAGATGAGAGTCATACCCAACACATACTCTGAGGGCTAATGGATTGAACAGATTTATTTATTTATTTAGTGAGAATTTGACAATAACTATTTGCAGCAGTCTGTTTTTCACTCAGCAAAATATGAAACCTTCAGGAATTAATCAGTTTGTATAAAACTAAATTAATTCAACCTGTTTTAATCAGATAACAATAGACAATCATATACAAATCGAGGTTCTGACGTCCAACAAGTGCCCGAGGGTTCATCTGAACCACAAACTGGACTGGACTCTGCTGCCGGAGCCGACTCGACCTGCTCAGAAGACTCGGGCCCTCTGGAGTCCAGGGGGAACTCCGAAAGGCGCTTCAGAACTCTTGTGGCGTTATTTTTAAGGTGTGGTGGGCATTACTGAGAGGACAAAGGAGGACAAACTCCTCATTCAGTTATTTTGTTGACAGAGGTGGACACGGCTAACCAAAAGGTTAGCTTTAACCACTAAACACGTAAAAAAAAATTAGCAGATGCTAATAACACTAACTGCTAACAGCTAAGACCGTTACAACTCGGGGAACCCAGATTTGTACAAGACCTGGAACGAGACAAGACTCAGGACTGAAAAAGGTGACAGTGTTTATTATTTACAGTGATAAGAATTTACAGTTGATCCTCTGAAGCTCCTGAGGAGGAAGGAGATGGTCAGGGTGGGTTTGGATGTATGGTTCAGGTGGAATAATAATCTGGTAAATGTTTTCTCTTACAGGTTGGAGGAGG